GCTTATCCAAAATGCATATGAAATCCCCCCCCCAGGTCTACACAATTTCTAATTGGTCTTAATAAAAACTCGGAGACAGATGGGGTAAATGTCAAAAGATCAGAGACGTAAAGAGCCAGCCACTAGAGAGACTTCTTGCTTCTACCAAATCCTCTGACTGAAGAGGGTTATCCTGTCTCTCTGAATTCTCAGACTGAATGGAACTGAGTTCCTGTCTCCTCCTGCCTTATATGCCTCTCTTTGCTCAGTCATGTATTTCCTGTTTCTACCTTCCTAGTTCTGAGATTAAAGGCTTGAGATCCTAAATGGTGGTATCAAGGGTGTAAACTCTGTTTCTCTTTTAGACTGTTTAAATCTCCTGTAGCTCAGTGTGACCTTGAACTCCTGATCTTTCCCATTTCCACCCCCCCAAGTGCTGGGATTAAAGGTGTGTGCCATCACTGCCTGGCCTCTGTGGTTAACTCGTGGTTAGCTCCTCTGATCTTCAGGCAAGCTTTATAAAATATCACCACACACAGACTCATGTGTTGTACATTTAGTGCCCAGCTCGGTGGGACTATCTTGGGAGGTTCTGAGAACTTCAGGCAGTGAGATATAGTTGGAAGAAGTAGGTAACTGGAGACACGTCCTTAATGGTATTTTGTCCCTGGTCCCTTCCTGTTTGTGTCTCTGCTTCTTGTGTGTTACAAGTGGAGAAACTCTTCACCATGAAGTTCTGGGACCAACTATCTACAGGTTGAATACCCTGAATTCTTGAACCAAAATAAAACTATGTTTTCTTGATTCTGTCAGCTATTTTAGTCATGGTCATCTTTAAAAAGGGCCTAATACAGGTGTAACGTCTATTTTCACACTTCCATGACCATAGAGGCCCTACTCTGGAACATGAACATTTAATAATCGGTCTCCTGACTGGTCTGGAACAGGGCAGCCCACTTAAGTTGAAGTAACAACTACCTACTTATTTGGAGGAATTTATGGTCTTAGGACCCAGAAAATTGGCTAAACTTACATGTGGTAAATCTCTCCATCTCTCTTTTTCAGCCACAGAGAGGCAGTTAATGTGTGGTGGTCCACCAACGTGAAGCCCACACGCAGACAGAAGTCAAGAGTGGAGGTGTGGAGTCCTAACGACAGCATCTGGGCTCCTAAGTCTGACCAATATGTGGCTCGGTCATGTTTCCATTCCTACCTATTTAAGGTTAGCTTTCCATTTTCTTTAAGCTTGTTCAAGTAGAGCTATTCTCATTCACAACCAAAACAATGGCAAATAATCCAGAATTATTTAACAGAACATTCTGTTAAAGCATATGGTTTCAGATTGGCAAATAAATTTCAAGTATGTAACATAAATACAATCAAAATAACCAAGTCATATTGATAAAGCTCTGATAATTATTTTCATTTATAAGAGATGATTTTAAAATGAACATGAGTGGCAATATTACTTTGTAAGGATGAATTTACTGCTTTTTTTACTTTATGAAGCATCGGGAAAGAAAGACAATGTTATTAGGATTAATAACTAATATTGTAACTGTTTCCATGGTATTATAATCCAAGAAGCAAAAGAGCTAGTAGCTTTTACTTGACTTTTTACTGGGCTTTTACTCATCTCAGATGACTGCAATTGCTAAAAAAGCTTAGTTTAAAAATGTCCCCCTCAGGGATGGTGAGATGGCTTAGTCACTAAGAGCACTTGCTGCTCTTCCAGAGGCTCAGAGTGTGGATCCCAGCACCCAGACCAGGCGGCTCATAATTGTCTGTAATTTCACCTTCCGGGGATCATGGTACCTCTGGCCTCTGAGGCCACCTGCATCCACATGCACAAACCCACATGCAGACACACACGCATACCTAGGCATGATTAAAAATAAAATCATAAATATTTAAAAGCCTTCTTCTTGCAGAGCCAGCCTTAAAAGCTCTGAAAAGCATTGTGATATGAGTTACATCCTTCCACGTGTGTCTGCATGTTATCACATGTAGTCTTTACTTCTGTATGTGTAATTTACATTTTTTTTGCTTCAGTTGAGTAATTTATATAAACAGAGATTCCAGCTTAACATGGGTTGTTTCTTAAAAGGTTGCTGGGAGCTTTTGTATTTGGAGCATGTTTTTCCACCAAGATTATATTGCTGTGAACAGGGATTGTTTGGCACATGGAACTTTTTTTAATATACGTTGGATCATTTTTCACTTCCATTTGATTTGGCCTTTCACCATGTTTAATCTTTAATTTTCTATCAACATTTCAATGAAACTTCATGGTGTTACTGGAAATTTAAAGTATTATCTTGAATATTTTTATGGAAAGACCGGTTAAAAATTGCAGTACCAACACATCTTTATTTCAGAGTCACAAGGAGAGAAATCACTTCAGCTTCCTTCAACTTTACTCTTGATCTTAGTTTCCGTTTCCACAACACGTGCTGAAAAACTGCTTGGGTGATTTGTTTTAAATTCTTTTACAAATAATTCATTATAAAGAGCAAAGAATTAAAAATAAAGAAGCAAGCCAGGGAGTGGTGGCTCATGCCTTTAATCCCAGCACTGGGAGTCAGAAGCGGGGGATCTCTGAGTTCAAGGCTAGACTGATCTATGGAGAGAGTTCCAGGACAGTCAGGGCTAAGAGAAACCCAGCCTTATCAAACAAAATAAACAAACAAAAATTAAAATAAAGATAGAGAAGCTCATAAAAAGTCCAAGTGTATTAAAGTATATAGTCTAAATATTTTGGAGGTACGCAGTTGAGATTAAAAATAACTGTTGTCTTTAGGCAAGACATATAATTCAATGTAAAACTTTCAATTAAAAATAATACTTGTTGAAATTAGAACCATTGAGTATGTCACATACTTTTTTTTGTTAAGTCTTAGTCTATTTTCTGTGCTATAGCCAAACACCTGAGGCTGAGTAATTTATAAAGAAAATGGTTTCATTTGGCTCATGGGTTCTGAGGGTTGGAGAGTTTAAGCTTCACTGGTCACATCTGGTGAGGACCTGATGTTGTATCTCGTGGTGGGACAGTGAGAGGAGTCAGTCCTAAGGAGACATTTCCGACGATCTGAGCCAGGTCAGGAGGAACTATGCTTACACCTCTAAGAAGGCTCCACCCTTCTGGCCAAACACCATTCAAGGTCCCAGCCTCACAATAGCATTCTGTAGGTAATTAAAATTTCAGCTGCCTTTAGTGGGGACAAAGCACATCCAAGTAGCCACAATCTTCAGTCAGCTCAGGAGGTGCATGGAATGTTGGGCAGAAGTGAAGTAATAAATATGGTCTTTCCTTTTCTTTTTTTCCTTTTTTTCAGACAGGGTTTCTCTGTAGCCCTGGCTGTCCTGGAACTCACCCTGTAGGCCAGGTTGGCCCAAACTCAGAACTCTGCCTGCCTCTGCCTCCCAAGTGTTGGGATTAAAAACATGTGCCACCACTACCCGGCTGGTATTTTCTAATAGCTATCTCGGAAAGTTTTTTTTCCTCTTTTTTTTTTTTTTTAAATAAAGGGTCTTTAAAAATTTAATTTGTTGTGTGTATTGGTCTTTTGCCTGCATGCATGTCTGTGTGAAGGTCAGATCTTGGAGTTACAGACAGTTGTGAGGTGCCGTGTGGGTGCTGGGAATTGAACCTCAGTCCTTTGGAAGGACAGCCAGTGCTCTTAACCAGGCCTCTATCTTGGAAGTTTTACAACTAGTATTTGATAATGTTGGTGGAGGAAATTATGAGTTTAGACTGAGGGGAAAATGTTAGTAGTGAGTGGCTTTGGCTCGAGTTTAACACACACATGCACTTCCTGAGAAACCTGTGGTGAGAAAACAGGGTTTATGCAGATTCACATAACTTTGGCGATAAAGTAATTACTAAGGTTTTTGACTTTAACATGAGATTCTTGAAAAAGCTAAGCTGCTAGAAACCAGGACCCAAGGGTATGGTTTCAAGTTTGGTGTCCTGAAGGTCAAGTCTGTGTTAATCACAGTTTCCTCAAGAAAATGTCATTGATTAAAGCTGTTTTATTTGGATTTATGATTCATCTTCCGGGGTGCGGGGAGAGGGAGAGGAGAGGGAGGGAAAGAGCTCACTCCTAGACTAACGTATAAGTATTTTACCAGAACAGTTATTTAGTTTGATACTTCAGTAACAATTCTTGTTTATAGGCAGATGTTTTGGTGTGCATGTGTGTTTCTGTGCATATGTGCTCATGTCTGTGTAGGTGCGTGCATATGTGTGTGTAAGATGGACACATTGAGCATTTTCTTCAGCCACTTTTTATCTTATCTGTTTTATGGATATGGATGTTTTGATCAAATGTGTATATATGTATGTATGCCTGGTGCTCATGGAGTCTGGAAGAGGGCACCAGATCCCCTGGAACTGGAGTTGTGAGCCTCATCCATCTTAGTTTTTGAGATAGGCTTTCTCATCGAATTTGGAGTTCATCACCTAGTCTATGCTGGCTTGCCATCGAACCCTAAGGATCTACTAGGTTAGCAGGCATGGTGTGTGTGTGTGTGTGTGTGTGTGTGTGTGTGTGTTGGGGACTGAACTCAAGTTCTCATGCTTCTGCAACAAACACTTAACCAACGGATCCATCTCTCCAACCCTTACAGCTAGCATTCAGCACAATGCCTGGGATCAATAGAGATTCGCTGAAGTAGTCAAAACATTAAGGAATAGGGCCAGGCAAACGTCTCAGAGGGTAGCCGTGTTTGTCACCCATCCTGTCTGACAGTATGAGTTTGATCCCTGGAGCCCACATGGTGGGGTGGTGAGAACACACTTCTGCAAGCTGTCCTGTGACCTTCACGTGCATGCCCCACCCCAGCAAATAATAAGTGTTGTAAAAAATGTTAAAGAATGAATGTCTGTGGAGCATAAACTGGCCGAGGGAGAGGTTATATAAAAGCAATGAAAGACATTTTCTGCTCTAGATTACAGTCCAACCTCACTTACATAATAAGTGGAAAATATGTTCTTTGTGTCAATCCTTAATATAGCCACCTGCTCTAGGAGTGAGCATTTTCTCCACAAGGGAGAACCGCTAAGCCCTTATCCCTTATTGCGGCTTTATCCGGGCCCTTAAAGTACCAGATGAAGTGGGAAGTCTTGCAAAGTGGCTGAACTGAAGTGAAAATTAGGTAGCTAGCTGTTGGTTGTTCAGAGTTGGCCTTTGCCTGTTTGCAGGCTCATGGACTTGCACACTTAAAAATGTGTGTGTGACAAGCTTATCAGGCCCTTTGTTAAGATGTCTGTCCAACACCTACATTTGTGTGGCTTCAAATGCGTGTTTGCCGTGTGGACAAATGCCAATTCGTACTTCCAAGGGGGCACCGAGCTCCTGGAATTGAGTCTCATCAAGAGAGAGAAGGAAGGAGGGAGGGAGGGAGAGAAGAAGGGAGGAGACCGTCCTCTTTTCGGTGTGTTGTGCCAAGAAGTCGTCTCTACTTGAAAGCAAAGATCGGAGGTGAGTGTTCAGAGAAAACAAAACTGAAGAGACTTTGTCTGGGCGGGAATCGCGTCCAAGTCCAGTGCCGGGAGCTGTCCGTGGTCCTGACCGCCTTGCGTGCTCTCGCCGAGCCAAGCTGGACGGAGGTTGGCGACAAGGGTGAGGCTGACTCCTGCACCTGTTGGGAATCCGGGCCTGAGACCCTAGCCAGGGGCTGGGGACGAGCCAGGGCCAGGGTCGGAGGCGTGGCCTGTGCAGGGTGGGCGGGGTTGGGTAAGGGAGGTGGGCGGGGTTGTGGGACTTCGGGGGCGGGGCCTGAGGAGGTAGGTGGGAGTGGGTGAAGGCCCGGTTGTGGGTCAAGCTTCGGTTCCTGAGAGGGGCGGGGCCTAGAGGGCCCCAGGGGGCGGGGCGGTGTCACGTGCCCACGGTGCGCATCTGGAGAAGATTCCGCTTCCTGCGCTGCTGGCTCTGGAGCTGAGACCCCACCCCACCGCCCAGCCCCGGCTCCCCGAGGCCCAGCAGCCCGGCCCCGGGGCTCGGTCCCGCCCCTCTCGCCAGAGGCCTTGGCGCGCCCTCTTCCCGCACCCCGCACCCCCCGAGCTCTCCGTGCTGTTGGTGCGGTCCATGGCGAGCGCATCATGGCGATCGAAGGTAAGTGGAGGCCAAGCGAGGCGTGGAGGAGTCCACCCGGCGGACGAGCGCAGGGCCTGGGTGGGAGGCCGAGGCGCCGGTTGTGGGTCCGGGCCGTGAGGGAGGCGACGGATGCGGGACACCGGCCTAGGCGAGGCTTGCGGTCCTGGCGGGCACTGGCCTACGCGCGATGGAGGCGCTGAGGTGCTGAGGGACTGAGGAGGCTCAGGTATTAAGGCGTTGAGATGCTGGGATGCTGAGGTGTGGAGGTTCTGAGGTGGCGTTGGGACTCACCTCTGACAGAAGGACTGGGGGACCCGCTCAAGGTGCTGCTCCCGCCGGTACCCAGCCCGCGCTCTGGGCTGGTGGCATTCGCTCTATCCCCTTCTGTTGACGGGTATGGGGACCAGGACATCCGTGCGAGGTTAATCTGACCCTCAAAATTGTTTGTCTCCGGGGAGGAGTAAATGCCTCTTTTTGACAAACGCACCTAGAAGACTTCAACAGAAATGTTTCAATAGCACCTTAATTCGAATTAAGTTCCTGCATAAGGTTGGTGGCACTAATAATGTGTGTTTTGCCCTTATTTTGAGAACATGGGGCTGGAGTGGCGTGTAATTTGCCTTGGTTTTTAAAGAGGATATTTTGCAGTTAGTATCACACAGGTAGGAGAGTGTCCACAGAATTTGGTTTCCCATTTCAGATGAGCGCAGTGTAGAAAAATTTCCAAAACTTCCCTCTGGGACGTGTACATTCATGTGCAGGGTACCAATAGCTGAATCATTACTCGTCTCCATTTAATGTGTTCTTCCTGAGTAATTCCCCGAGGTGACTGGTCTCTGGTAGTGTACACACCCGGGACACAGCCATCGAACTGCAGAATTGATTTAGCTGTGTGTTGTGTGTTTGCTTCATTTTAGAGATTAAGAACAGGGCACATTGACATGCTCTCAGGTACGTGCGTTTGCTAAGATGATGGAGAACACAGTCTGTCTGTAGCCGTTGATATTCCCGTTAGTCAGAACAGCATGCCCAACGCTGTTTCTTCCCTGTGTAGTTTACTAGAGCTGGAAAGTCAGGGAGCAGGATCCACTGGTGGGTGTAGAATACTCTATTTCGCCAACAACTTTGTGGAAGGATTTCTTGTAAAGTCATAAAAACAAAATTTTATGCAGAAAATGAAGGATTGGCCCAGATAGGTTCAAATATGATCTCATAACTTGTAACTTCTTGATGTCCAGTTTTTCTTCATGCATGCATACCTTCCTCTGGCAGTTAAATATTACAGCATTTTGCTCTGTCTTTTTTATCTTTAAATAATAAGATTTTCTAAAGATACTCTGTATGTTTTTTGGTGCTAGGCTATACCCCCCCAGCCTGTTCTTAAACCTATACATTTGTTTCAGGTTTTCATGATATAAATATAAACACTTAGGCCTTCTCTAATTTGGCAAGGAAACTGTAGTTAATACATTTCAAGTAAAGGTATCAGGTTAAGCCAGTCTCACTATGCCTCTTAGCACATGCTAAAATACATTCTGTTTCTATTCTCATCCTTAATTTCTTCACCTCTTAGTAGAATCTTATTTGCTCAGTATGATAATACCATAAGCTAATGTTTCTTTAAAGACCTGCTTGGTAGACATACCCCTAACTAATAAAGAACGATACAGTTATGTAGTAGAAATAACTTATTATAAGAGGAAGGTTTTAAACAGAGAAGGAAATCAGTACTTTAGTATAAGACTCAAAGGTGGTGAGACCACTGAACACAGCCACTAAGAGCATGCCTGACTGCCACAAACATCCATTCTTCAGTTCACTATAAGGCTCACACAAAGGATTGCAGATAAAACTAGAGATAAAGACTTTGTGTTGAGGTTGAATCAGAAGTTAGAATCCTGAGGGTATTTCATTCAACATTTTTCCTTATGAAGTAGTTCTTAAAACATCCAATTCATTCACCTGCTAATTCAATGAATGTTTATTGAATACACAATGTTCTGAAGTAGACTTTGTGGGATCTTCCCTGTTAGAGTTTATGTTCTGGGGAGACAGATAATTATAAGCGTATGGTTATGTTATAGTGTGTATACCAAGAAATAAATTATGCATGCTTCCTTTGTATAAAAACATCCAATGGTGTTGATTTCAAAACTAATTTTGAGGTAATAAGTGTTATATCTTTAAGGTCTTTATATTTGGCCGGAAGTTTTGTATTTCCAAGTCTGTTATTCAGCAAGTTTGGTCTAACTCCTTCCTAGTTTTTCTTTCTTAAGCAATACTTAAAATATACTCTTTTATGTGTGTGTGTGTGTGTGTGTGTGTGTGTGACACCCCTTCCATTTGCAGACAAGAACTGTATGCTCCTTTGTTTTAAAATTTGAAATACAGCCGGGTGGTGGTGGCGCACGCCTTTAATCCCATCACTAGGGAGGCAGAGGCAGGCGGATCTCTGTGAGTTCGAGGCCAGCCTGGTCTACAAGAGCGAGTTCCAGGACAGGAACCAAAAAGCTACGGAGAAATCCTGTCTCGAAAAATCCAAAAAAAAAAAATTGAAATACAGTGATGGAAAATTCCATTTTACTTGTTATCGAAGCTATTATAGCCTTACTTGTACTTAATTCTCTGAATACAGCTTAATGTTAGAATAACCTTTTGTGTAACTTCTTGTTGACTCAAATGAGCTTGTTTTCAACCAAAAAACTATGGACTGTTTTACTTGGGTTCCTTACTCTGGCTGTGTCTTCAGCCCTTTATGTAACTAAATTGTGTTGTGATTTGAGAATAGGTGTTGTAGCAGGGAGGCGTGCTTTTAATAGTTCTGTTCAGTGGGTTAGCCTTGAGTTTAGGACCAACAGCTATTTGGATTTCCTCCTCTGAATAAAACTCTTTGTTTTATAGTCCCAAATTATCTGTAAGCAACCATCTCCTCCTTTATCAGTCAGAGGTATGCTTACCAAGAGGTCTTCATAGAAAGTTAGGTTGATGGTAACACCGTATTGAGCAAAGAAAATTCTACTGAGAGGTGAGGAAGTTAACTCTTAAGTGGAAGTACACTTAAAATACTTTCTTTTCTTTCTTTTTTTTTGGTTTTTTCGAGACAGGGTTTCTCTGTGGTTTGGGAGCCTGTCCTGGAACTAGCTCTTGTAGACCAGGCTGGTCTCTAACTCACAGAGATCTGCCTGCCTCTGCCTCCCAAGTGCTGGGATTAAAGGCGTGCGCCACCACCGCCCGGCTTTAAAATACTTTCTTTAGTATGATTTTATGTGTATAGGTGTTTTGGCTGCATGTGTATTGGCATACCATGTGGGGGCCTGGTGCCCATAAGATTAGAAAAAGGGCATCAGATTGCCTGGAACTGGAGTTACAGACGGTCATAGCAATCATGGACGTGCTGGGAACCACACCCAGGTTTTCTGGAAGAGCGGCTGGTGATCTTAATTGCTAAGTCTTTTCTTCAGCTCTGCAAGTACACTTTCTAAAAAGTGTTTTCCCAATGGACAGCTTATAGGTCCTAGCTGTCTGGCAGTTCAGGTTGTGATCATCCTGACATGCGTTGGCTGCCCAGGACATGGACTTCTCAGGTATTGCTATCAACCCACCTTTGTTGACTATTTTTTCTTTCTTTTGTTCCATGATTTATTTATTTTTATTTTATGTGCATTGGCGTTTTGCCTGCGTGCGTGTGTTTGTGTGTGTGTCTGTCAGATTACCTGAAGGAGGAGTTACAGATACTTGTAAGCTGCCATGTGGGTGCTGGGAATTGAACCCAGCTCCTCTGGAACAACAGCTAGTGTTCTCAACTGCTAAGCTATTGCTTGTTTGCTATTTTCTAATTTTGGAGTTTTCTCCTGACTACTTAGTTTTTTCTGCTTACCTGAACTAATGTTCTTTGTGTTTCTGTTTCAACTCTATTGCTATTATCTAGTTTATTCAAACTTCATATATTGAACAATTTTAACATCTGTAGTCCAACTATAAATTCAAAGAGGACAGTCTTTTTCAAAAAGCACCTGAAATCCTATGTTCTCAGTCCACATTTCTTTTTTTTTTAAATATTTATTTATTATGTGTACAATATTCTGTCTGCGTGTATGTCTGCAGGCCAGAAGAGGGCACCAGACTTCATTACAGATGGTTGTGAGCCACTATGTGGTTGCCGGGAATTGAACTCAAGACCTTTGGAAGAGCAGGCAATGCTCTTAACCACTGAGCCATCTCTCCAGCCCCCCCGTCCACATTTCTTGAATTATTTCATGGAATTCTGTTCGTAGTCTTCATATTACATCCACTGTTTTGATGCCTGTCTCTAGCAGAATTTTTCTGTAGTAGATAGTTATCTTCACTTACATTTTAAAGTAGTAGGTAGAGATCCTCATTTGGAT